TTTGACTAGCAATACTTGAGTGAGCCTATCTTCTTTTTTTTTTTTTTTTTTATAATAATTTTCATAAGCAATGGTGTTTGTTTGAAGAAGAAAAAAAAAAAAATATATACCTAAAAATAAGTCACGTATTATTTATTCATTAAATTTTAATTTTAATCCTTCTATATATTTGTCTGTTGATGTTGGAATAAAATTCGTTTGAAATATAATTAAATGATTAGTTTTTTTTATTTTATTTTTGTATGTACAAATGAGATATACTCATCATTCAAGAATTAGAAATTGTATAGAATTCTATTCTGCAACAATAACATACAGATCTACAGATCAATAAGTATTCAAGGAATTGATATTTAACAATGTCAGATTTTTCTCTTACTCTTGGTTTCGTTTTGTTTTGTTGAATTCTAGAAGTTCTATAGAATTTCTAAAATCTAGTTCACGAACATTTCTCAATCGATAATAAAAAGAAGTAAAACTCTTAAAATGAGTCATAATTCGTTCGATAAAGAAATGTTTTCACTTTTCAAAACTTATCGATTTCAAACATACATCATCTAGCTGCCCACATCCACTATTTTGTTGATTCGCTTCCCAAACACTCATTAAAAGGAATGAGAAGAAATCCTTCAATCACAAACAAAGTGCATTCCTATAACAACTGACCAAAAAAAGTTGTCAACAAATGTAAGAAAAATCTCTCGTTCTTGATTTCAAAAAATATACATTTGTATATTATTCTAATTTATTAACAATTCAAGAGTGACTATTCATACCATATAGTACAGAAATGGGTGTGATCAAAAAGAATATAGTAATCACACTATCTTCATTTAGTATATCATTGCTCGCAATTCTATTTTATCGACTTTGCAGTTTGTAGATGGAAACTCTTTGTTGACAATTGTATTTCTTTATCAAAACATTGTCATTTGAATTGTTCATTTTTTTTTGGAAGAGAAAATGGTAGTTTATTATTGAATAAAAGTAGAAGAACTATTTTGTCATCCGTCATTTTCGATCAAAGCCAAGCAACGACCTTAAGTGTCAACAAAAAAAATATTTTGATAATTGAGAAAGAAAAATTTTCGTTTAAATAAACGATGTTTTGTCGTTGATAGGATTCATTCGTGATTTCAATTTGATGATGTATCAGTACCAACAATTCATTCTCTTAAGATTCCATCAGTATATGGCGCAGTCAGTATGTATAGCATGTGAAGTGGCAGTGATTAATAATTGCTCGTTTCTAATGAGTTAAGCTTGCGAATGTATATTTTCAAATAATATCTTTTCAGTTAATAATCGTTGCAAGAAAACTCGGGATATTGTCTGTTTTGCGACCAAAGGTATCTATGCCAAAAAAATCAGCTAAATCGTTGCTGACTTAGGAAACGATTAGAGAAGAGTTCCTTATCAAATGATCCATAGCTCACGAGAAATGTTTCCCAAATGATCAATTACTTTTCCATAGAGACTTCAACCTTAAGTTTTAAATACTAATCTATAAAGTAGCCATGTATTGACTACAACCAGTCATCTGACACTTCTTTTCGTTTCATCATCATGTGTTCACAAATTAATCATAGCTATACTGTATGCAAGAAACTATATAACAATAGAAGAAATAGAACACACGTATGCTAATATCTCAAAATATGATGCATTGGCTTTGTGAAGACATATTTCCAAAACAACCGATAAATGGAACGAAATTATGCCATGTAATATATAAGATTAAATTCTTTCTTTATCTTTTTTGCATATTTATTCTTTTTGTTGTGGTTATTTTGTGTAATCATAAATGATAGACTGATTAAAAGATTAAATTTGTTGATACACCCTAAGAAACGCCTTGGAAGTTGATGCCATAGAAAATCGGTGACAAACGTTTTATGAAATCGAACAGACCATGAACATGATATTAATAACATTCCTTTGTTAATTTCTTGTTTTGCATTTTTTATTTATATCGAAATAAAATGTTAGTTCAGAGTTATTATCTAACAAATGCTCTTCACTTCTGACTAAATCATTCAAGTGTGTCACTATTTGTGTGTTGTAAATCTTCTACAAATCGTTTAGTACGATAAGATTATATCGTAAATATTATACATAACTGTGTATAAAATCTTGCACTGTAGCGTGTCGTTATGTTTTGTTAAAGATGTCGTTTCGAAAACAGATGTAATTCTTCAAATTATTTGTTCTCCGTCATTTCTTTTGCCGTCTTGTGCAAATATTTATTTCTCGTCTTCAATTGCACATTTTTACAGACTGTTCGACGATCATGAAAGGTTTGGAAGATTTAAACACTGAGTTATTATATGAAATTTTCGATTACCTGTCATTTACTCAAGTATTTCTTGCGTTTTTTAATCTTCAACAACGCATCAACAATGCTATTCGAGCTTATCCAGCATGCATCGATCTGTCGAAGACGATTGATCGAAATGCACTTTCACATGATTCATTTGCATGTCGTGCATTGATAATATTAGGTGATGATATACTAGAAAACACTATGAATTGTTTACATCTTAACTTTGAGGCCATTCGAGCAATCTCCTGTAAATATGTTAATTTCACTACACTACAATTATTTTTCGAACAAATACCTATGGAACAACTTGAATCAATTGAAATAGAGCATCTTGACAGACGGGATGCTCCAGAAGATATGGATCAAGAACTCTGGTCGACAATTGCTATTGCTGGTCGAAATCAACTTCGTCATTTGTGTACATCTCTACATATTATTCAACAGAATACTGAACAGTTGTTATTCGATTTGCCTACCTTACAATATGCCGTTCTCAAGTATATATCCTCTGAGGCGATGTTGGCGTTTGTGCGTCACACACCAAATCTGTGTTCATTTACTGGTCGCGTCATTAACTGGAACAATGAGAGTTGTACGCCTGATTTTAGCCTTCCCAGGCTCGTTCATCTCAATTTACTGATTGAACGTTGTAGTTCATTCGAAGAACTTCGACAACTTCTCTTTATATGCCCTAATTTGACACACTGTGAACTTCGATTTTGGATTACATGGAGTAATGTATCAATGGTCGATGCAACAGGGTGGCAAGCATTGATCGAACAATGTTTGCCATGTCTTATTTACCTAAGAATTCGATTGTTCAGATACGTGCCGGGAATCAGAGATTCGGATCCACAAGAAGCATTTAATCGGTCTGAATATTGGACTAGACAACAACCACATTTTGATATTCAGGTACGATAATTGTTACTAATATTGTTGTCAGTTTTATTGAAGGTTTTCTTGACAATGAAAATAGCAATACAAGCTCAGAGAATAGTCTAATAGACATTTCCATTTTCTTTCCACAAAACTATAGCCCTATGAAATACAAAGAAGAACGAGACACTCAAAGTTGTTTTCCTTTGCATTTTCATTACCAGCTTAATTTTTCATGGAAATAGCTTCTTAGGAGTACTAAGTATTAAACTACGTATATTCACTAGTAAATAAGTAAATTTTTTATTTGCTATGCTCATATTACATGATCGATAGAGAAACAGCTAAGTCATTGTTATTGACGAAATAGGCAGCAGATCTTATCAGAAATATTCGATTTTTGGCTCAATTTTGAATAACAATTTTATCAAACATCATGAAACTATCATGTCTAAAAGATCTAATGAGTTTCTCAATTGTTTAACTCTTCTTTATTTCAGTATATGGAAGTCTGACAAGTATCTGTCGTCAATCAACTTTATGGAAGCTTTCTGACTAATGTTGTGATAATGATACATTATAATTCTAAATTCTTCTTGTATTGGTCACCTATACCTGATTAATTTTATGAAATTGCTCAATGATCATTATTTATGTTTCGTCATTTTTTTTCTTTATCATTGTTTTTTGTGAAAAAATAATCGAATGGCAATCATGATTCTGCTTATAACGTCAGTCTAAAAGATAAAACTATTATGGCTATGATAGGTGCAATAAAAGTGATGTAAAGTAGAATTCATTATGGTCTAATATATTTTTTCTATGGCAAATCAATCTTTTTCTTTCTTTCGTTCTCGATTTTGTTGCAGTTCTATTTTTTCACGTTGTTATTTGTTCATTAATTCGAAAAACTATACGAAATTGGACAATATTAGTAGTGGTTGAGTGTTTTAATTTGTTTTTAATTATAATTATCATGAATGCATATAATCAGCAATACGACAGTCGCCATTCGATTGTCAACTGAGTTTTCCAACAAAAGTCTATTGGATTTCTTCTGGATGGCATTAAAGAACTACTGATATCTGAATTGCATGAAAGGAAAATTGACTATCTGTCATCCTTGGGATAGTAAGCCTTTTTTTTTCCCTTTTGAATATGTATTCAAGCATCTTAGTCAATCATATTGAAACAAATACCACGGTTTATATCTGCATTGAATATATTCCTTCTCGTATACAAAAGGAAAGTGATATTTTTGCTTTTTGTATCAAACGCGATTAATGATAAAATGGACCCGCTTCGTTTTCTAACAAATTTATCAGAAAACATGCTCGTTTGTACAGTTGAGAAGGACTATGGCAGATGAATATAGAAGATATTCCCAATCTGAAAGGCATCTTTGCGGATTTTGGAAGATTAGTAAATAAAAATACACGACAATCTACTTGGAGTGTCACTCTTCGCATCGAAAAGCGGTGATTCAACAAAGATAATTATCATCTTAACTCTGCCTTTCTTCTTATTATTTGAAAGTACTCTGATTATTATTTGGCTCGAATTCGGCAAAGATCGACCGTTGAAAAGCAAGAGTTGCAACTAGCAGATTGATTTGCATTGAATAAAATATAGATCAATTTGTTTTCCGACTGATTGTCAAGAAATTTTGAAAATGCAAAAATAAACTTCGAAATGCAACAGTAGGGTTAATTGCCACGACTAAGGTAAAAATGAAGAATTTTTTGACGTGAATATTAGTGTTTAAAATTCTATTTGAAAAAAAACAAATGGCTTATGATTATTCTTGTGTAAAACATAGCACTTCATATTCATTTGTCCTTTCTTCCATATTTTTTTCAAAATTTGGAAAATATAAACATTTGTGCTTGTATGATGGCTGCACTCTACCAATAATTTTACTATCAATTGTACGTCCAACGTAGATCACATCCCAACCTTCATCATCGATAAATCTAAACTCAACGGCATTATTTGGTACATGTCCTTCTTTGTCCAGTAGCCAAACTAATTTTAAGCCAGCTGGATTCGTTAGTATCGCTAGATCACAGTCACCATCATTAGCTTTGATTGCTTTACCATTGTAAGCGTAGTATATAGTCGCTGTACACTTGTCTTCAATACCTACGCCATGACGTTGTACATAACCCGGTACTATATCACCATAAGGACCATGACAGCTGCCCTGCTGTAAATCGACAACACCAATATACATTTGTTTAATCTGTGATGAACCATCTACACTACCATCAACAAGAACAGCATGAGACGGAAACTCGTGATTGTTCGACCGGAATCGTTGCCACGCGAGTTGAGGCCCTCCTAAAACAGATAAAAACAGCTTTTAATCTAATACGGTCGATAGACAACATAATAATTGCCTGCAAAATTGCTCATTTTTTTTCGTATGTATGGTAAATAGTAGTTATTATTTCGATCGGGCGATTGCACGTAAGTGTATACACCAGTTGATTTATATTTGCGTATTTATTCAAGTGTAACAAAAAAATAATAACGCTTGCTAGTTGGTAATCATTCTGTTTTTTTTTGAGTTGACACATGCACGTTTTATCCTTTCGCGGTGTGCACTTTAAGCAGCTACGTAAATAGAGTTGTCACTTTTCTTTATTTAATTCTTATTAAAATTAAGATGAAGATATTCCTTCATCTTGTGAGTGTGGGTATGAATAAACTATCACATTGCGCATTTCGATCTAGTCAACGATCTCATCAGATGGCTATTGATAATCTGTATTAAGCTGAAAAATCTCTTAAATTCATAATGTTTCATATAGAAATCCTTCAATATTAACGAATTATTCAATCTATGGTAGTAGATATTCATCTATTTTTTGAACTCTTTTTAAAGCGAAAATTTTCCACTTGAAGATGTGTGGATGTGGGCGGGTGAATGTGCGTGTGGTGTCGGTGTCATAGCAGAGAAGGCTCACACTTTACACCCATATTCCCACGCCACGCACCCACACCCACGCCTGGCTGGCAACTCTGATACAGAAACAATCTCATGTTATAATTTATTATTTAGCGGTATATCAACTAAAAATATCAATGAAAAGAAACAAATCATGATTATTAAAAGAAGATTGATGTGTTCAAAGGATGATGATTGGAGAAAAAGACTAATCATATCAAATGTTCAAAACTATTCATACTGTTAATTTATTTGAAATTCAATATAGACAAACATTATCTAATAACTAACATTTTCATTTGTTAATACAAATGTTTCATAATTATCTTTGGCATTATTTATTTGATGGATCATACAACTCAGCACTCTTTAGATAAACAGTACCATTAAATCTACCAGCAACTAATACTTTTCCATTTGGTAATACAGATGCTGTATGCTCATCTCGTCCATTATTCATACTATCAGTAATGGACCATCCTAGGCAAAATCAATTCAATGTATTATTTGTGTAAATAGTAAAGATTAAGATATACTTTAGATTATGTTACTAAAATAAAAGTTGTTTCTAAATTTTAATACAAAGGCTTTGGAATATTAGATAAAAACATCGTATTCAAGGATAACAGATAAATTATGTTTGCATTTTCCATGTTTCATTAAATTATTTACAAGAACTAATCAACATTTAATTATATTGAAATTGCTCTTGTTCATGATCACACTGTAATAAAAATCTCCATCAGAAGAAAGAACAGTGTAACCTTCCTAGAATGTGTAAATACGGTTGTTCTGTCCAATACACTCAAATAATGAATGATTTCAAACTGGCACTCATTAGTATTGTTCATATTGGACTGTTTTTTTCTCTGATCTTTTGAAAACTTTATTTCTAAATTCTTCTCTCTTTAGTTTCCTAAAACCCATTACAGTATCTATACTACTGCAATTATATTGAAGTCCTCAAGAGAGAATTTAATCACTTGAACTTGGCATAATCTACAAGTCTAACATCGATGATCCTTTCTATACTCTCATTTCATTAAAACGAATTAGGTTTTCGACGGCATGGTTGAACAAACATTTGATTCAATCGACACTCTCGTCTGCTTATTCCGAAACGATTAAATAAAGAAAGTGAAATTAAACGTTTTCAAAATGGTAGATTTCAAGAGTCACACAAAAAAAGACGATCTGCATAAGAGTTTCTGATGAGAAGCATTCTCTCTTTTTCTATTCAAGTTAAGATTTCAAATCTGAGTGTCATCTTATGACAATAATATCTCAAATTCAGCACGAATTCATAAAAGAAAAAAGTACTAATGTGTTTGGAGATTCAGAAACAAATTGACAATATCAGTACTACCCAGGTCGACCAATCTGACGGAAAACGTGGTGTCGGCACATCCTATCGGATCCTACATTTCAAATCTGATCGGAAGCTACTGGAACGGCAACGATCGGAAATCACTGTAGACAACCGATAAAAACCTTAGTAACGAAAAATCGATCGGTTCCCACTGTTGGTAACCCAAAAATATCATATTCCAGACCAAAACATCTCAATAGACCATACATAATGCATTTCAAATTTAACATAACAATATACGATAGAAAACTATTAGAACAGAATTGCGAAACGCGAATTATATAACCTAGTATACTAAGCTCCCTTCCTAAAATCACTACACGTCAATAACAGAATCTTTTATTAAGCCAGCAAACAAAATAACTAAATATTCTTCCTTCACGACACATTTCATAAATTACAGGACTCAACCTGTTAGACACTCAATACCGCCATTCAATAAAATAAACCAAATGCCCTACAAAAATACAATAACGCAAAAAAAGAGACAAAATTTCACATCCACGTTCATCCCACACGCTTTATAGATCCATATTTTCAAAGCCCCATAGGATCCAATAGGATAAAAGCGTATCTGACCAAAAATTTTGAATTGAGATGGATAGACGCAGGTCGAAAAACAGAGTATAAGACCTTGTCATCATATGAAATCTTATGAAAATCGTACGGAAAATTGTCGT